TCACGTTTCTGCAACAAAATTGCTGAGACTTCAGGAGGCCAGCAAGGCCCTGGTTGGATTTATAGATTCAGGGATGTAACAATCTCTGTCTTCTGTCTGTCTGTCTGTATGTGTACAGAAGGTGAACACTCACTGTTGCACAGAAGGATTTCAGTGACATGTGGCTTGGGCTCTGCAACTCCAGGCATCCAATAGAAGGAAGGAATTCCTGAGGTGAGAATATCAGCAATGTGAGGTAGTGACTTTTTTGTGAATGACTTCACCTGATTGTGTACGACCTGCAAATCTTACCCCAGTTACTTCTGGGATTCCAAAAAGGCATCCCCTAAGTCCTCTGAAGCAAAGGATCTCCACAGCCTGAGGACATGACCCTGCCATTTTCCTGAGTCTTGTGCTTTTGAATCCATTTTGTGCCGATGGCTAGGGAATTACAGAAGGATGCTGTGTGGTCCATGCTGCCATGGACCGTGGCTGAGAGTACTTCTGTTAGCGTGGGAGTAACAGGCTGTTTATCTACTTAAGTCACTCAGGCAACCTGCCACTTATTCCACATATTGCCACTTTGTCTGTGTGTTATTCAAGACCTTAGCAGGATAAATAAGAAAACAACACTAACGATAAAACCCAAACAAGCAGGCAAACATGACAGCTTGGCAATCCGGCTCCTGTCTTCCAGGAGTGTGTGCACCCTTCTCCCCCACTGTGACAGGAAGGTACGTGGGAACAGTGGGGCTGGAATCCAATTGTGCCCTGCAGGGCTGAGTTAGGGAAGATTCTATGGAAGAGGTAGAATTTTGAGATTTGAGCTGTACTTTGAAGGATGAACAATATTTGGACAAATTCAAGTGGAAGGAGGAGGAGCTTCCCAGGGAGGGAAGTGGCACATGGCAGGGACACAGCTGAGGACAAATGGGAGTCAAGAACTTGGATGGTAGGAAGATCAGTTTGCCATAAGTACACGGTCAATGCAGGCAATCCACAAAGCAGAGACTGACAGGCAGACTGGAGTCACGTGACACAGGGTTTTAAGGACATTTTCATTGATCTGAAATTCCCCCAGTTCCACCCTTATTTAATTGCATCGGCAAAGATGCTATTTCCAAATAAGGTTACATTCAAAGGCTCTGGTGGACATGAATTTTGGGGAACACTATTCAACTCAATAAAGATAATTTGAAACTAGGTTACATGTGAGTGTTAACTGGGACAAGAGAAGGCTTTTGGAGAGAATAAGAGTGGAGACTTGATCAAGGATGAGGAAGAAGCCATGTGAAGTTTTGAGTCAAAGCAGAAAGAGTCAAGACCTTGAGATAAGAATAAATTTAGTGTTTAGAGAGAATGAGAGCTTGTTTCTCTTCTGCAAGGTGAATTTCTTCCCTAGGAGTGGTAGTCAGACTCAGTCTGAAGGGAGAAGAGGAGATAATCTTGTAATTAAATTCACTCAATTTCCCTGCTGTCTTTGCTAAGACTATGCCATGCTGCTGACGACTAACAATGCATTCAAAAGCTTGTGAATGTAACTGGTGGAATATAAATGGAATCACCTTGCAAAACTTTCCCTCTGATACACTTTGCTCGAAGAGACTAGAAGCTCTGGGGAGTGAATCACTCTTAGTATGCAAACTGTTTGCATGGTTGCTTTGGAATCTTGTGAAGGATGAGGCAGGCTTTGGAATCAGTAATAGTGGAAAGGGTCAGAGGACTTAGAGTCTAAATCCCAACTGTAACTATGATCAATTATGTCCTTTATTTTCTTTTGTGGAAATGGGCATTGACCGAGCCTTTGCACTGACCTACATCCCAAGCCCTTGTTTTTGTTGTTGTTATTTTGAGTTTTGGGACATGGTCTCTCTATGTCACTAAATTGCCCAGGCTGGGCTTGATCTGCTGATCCTTCTGCCTCAGCCTCCCAGAGTGCTGGGAGTGCCAGTGTGTGCACTGTGCCCAGCTCAGCAGTGTTTTGTGGGTAAGTCTCTAGCTCTCCGGGCTTCAACTGTAAGGGGTGTTGGGGATCATTAAGGGAAGGGGGACACTCATTGAATTATTGTTCCTCCAACTGTAGCTTCCTAGCTGCATGCAAGGCCCCAGGAATTGTCCCCTGAACTGCTCAAAGTTAATGGACACTTAGTTGCCATGTAATCAGGTCTCTGAGTTTAGGATGGGTGAAGCACCAATATTCACAAAGGCAGTTGTGGATGTACCTTGATTTAAGCTGGTGACCACTGATGTGAAGCCCAGTTTTTGCATGTGGACTTACCAAAGCTTTCCTCTCTAGACGCCTCCTTGCTTCTTGCCTTTGGAAGAATCTGGGATCAACCTTTCACAGGGCTTTCTGCCTTAGGAAGGAAAATAAGGCTTTGCAGCTGCAAGAGCAAAGTTTCTTGAATGAGCAAATTGTTCACGGCTGGGTGTTTACTGAGTTAAACAATGCAGCCCCTTCCAGCTTTGTACGCAATTACCTTGGCTGTATGTGCTGGAGAGTTTGTACTGTAGTATGACTTCTAAATTCATAACTAATGGTTGTCCTGTGTGTAAATCCCACACAGATGTTTATTCTGTTCCCTGGGATTCTGCTGAGCAGATGCAGGGTGCTTCTCCCCTGCTGGAGCAGAAGTGACGAACTGATCCAGCTGTTCTGTTATTTGATCATAGGTGATGGGCTGACCGGCACATCTCCCTTGGCTTTGGACTGTCTGGATTTAAAAACTGAAAACATTTCATCCTGGAAAACCCCTTAGTCCAGAACAAACTGGGTGATGATCACGCTATAGGGATTTTATGGGGTTGCTCTGAACCAAAGCATGTCTTAGATCCAAGACAAAATACCCAACACCCAAAGTTAAAGAAGGAAAATTTTTTTCGGCCCCCCAGTTTTCAGGGGTTTCAGTCCTCAGTGAGCTGGCTCCGAGGCAGGGTGGTATGGCAGGGGGCGTTATATTCCGTCCCGGTTACACACCTTTTGGGTGGTACCATCCACACCCAGGGTGGGGCACCCTAATCGAATCACACACTTAATCCCAGAATCACACACCCTAGATCCAGCAGCCAATTCTGAAAAAAAAAAAAAAAAACTACCTATAAATGTATGAGGCTTTGGAGGAACATCTAGATACAGGACATAACAAAGAATAAAAGTCGGAGGAATAAAAAAGAAACCTGGAAACAAGGAGTCTTGAGAGCAGGAAACACTGCTCAGCAAGTACCAAGCTTCGTCTGCCCTGCCCTCCACAGGCCAGCAAGGCTGTGCAGTCCAGTTCTGAGGAAGGGTCCCGGATGCTTCTGTCGCACTGTGTGGCTGGGAGTTTCTGGGACCATTCTCTATTTTTCTTAGGAGCTTACAGGTTAAAATGAGATGATATTGTGATACATAAAAAAAATCATCAGGAATCCCTCCCTACTCTAATAATACTTCCCACTTTTTGGGGGTAGGTCCCCAGAAGTAGGTCAAAGTAGGTCCCCAGAAGCATTGGACAAAATACTAACCCTTCTCTGCTGCCCGCGCCCAGACACAAGGCTTGGACTCGTGTTACTATTGTTTTTTGAAAGCAAGCAGAATTTCTTGAAAGTTAGTCGATTTCAATCTTGAGGCAGGATCAAAGTCTGAAGAGCTCAAATATTTTGTTGGTGTGGCCTGAAGATAAGGAAGGTTGGAGGGACTTCTCCCAGCCTCATAGAGAAAAGGAAGAGACATCGAGAAAAAAAAAGTTAATCACAGCTAATTAATACGTACAAGTTGGGTGTGTGAAAGGCTGCGAGTCCATGACTACACTCTAAAGAGATAAGCATATAAAAGTATAGTTACAAAGCAAAAGCAATGTGGATATCACAGGAAAGTATAATAACATGTGGGCATTCTGTTTTTAAAATCTTAAGTATATGATTGCACAAGCAAGAGAGAATAAGCTCAGTGACTTGAGTCAGCCAGGGTGTCCCCTCAAAAGCAGGATCTGGTCCTAAAGCACAAGGACGAATCGGCCATCTGCTCATTTTAATAACCAGGTAGGAAGGGCCGGAACAGTGAGTTTGAGTCCTATGGAGGAAGTTGCCCTCAGTTCCTAAAAGAGGAAATCCCAGAATGGATCCACTAAGGAGAATAAACTACTACTGCAGAAGGCATTTATACTGTAACAAATCTAACAGACCAGGTCTGTCATAGTTGAGATCTAGAATGTTCTCCAAAGGCCTTATGTGCTCAGAGGCGGGGCTCCTGGAAGGTGGTTGGATCATGGGGGCGCCCTAGCTGGATATGACTGTAGCAGAGGGACCTGTTTGGAAGGTGTAACCCAGAAGGACATAACTCTCTCCCTGGTACTGCTCTTTTCTCTCTGCGTCTTGGCCACCATGATGTGGGCAGCTTCTCCTCCTCTAGCCCTGTCACCAGGCCATTTCTGTTTTGGACTCCGTGAACCACAGATGGACACTTCTGAAACTGTGAGTCAAAATAAGCCTCTCCTCCTTTAAGCTGTGGATATTGGGTGTGTCGTCCCAGTGACAAGAAAATGGCAAAGACAAGACCAATATATCAAAATGGTAGCACAAGGCACTCACATACCAGGTCATGCAAATTTAATGACCATCATATTTTTGGGAAAGAAAAAGATCCTGCAAAAATGCAAATCTATGTCAAATCAGGGACATAAGAAAGTCTGTTGCTGGATAACAAATTCCTGTAAAAGTTAGTGAAAAGGGGGAAAGAGAAGGAAAAGACAAAGAAAACAAAATATCTCTCTGGTCTGGTGCCAGCACTTATAAATAGGAATTCTGCTTCAGGTTGAGTAAGAGGTAAGGGAGGTTGAATGCTCAGACTATCTGAAGGTGAGAGAAGTTAATGGTGCCCTGGTATAAGTAATTAATAAAAGTCCCCCCGGTGGTGATTGTGTGTACCCGGGTTTGAAAGTATTATTCCAGTGTGACCTGAGAATCTAAGTTGACTTTAGTTATAGTAAACTTGGTTGCGAGAGTTGGAAGGGTGTTAGTATCACTTCCTGGGCACCAGTTATGATTTTACATGCATTTCTCCATTTATTCCCCATAACAGCCTTAGGGATATAGACAGTAAGACAGTAATATCACTGTTTTACACAATCAGAAGCACAGGCTAGGGAACTGACTTAATCCAACCTGTCTTAAGCAAAGCTTGTTTCACCTGGCAATATCCATTGAGGTCTCCAGCAGAAAAGAACAGTAATGACCAAGCAGAGAAAAGATGAAAGAGCTAGTTTGATAGATTTAAGCCTGAGCTCTAAGCAGCCCGGAAAGATGGAGCACAACAGTGTTCTTTCACCTCGTGCAGTCTTTGTCATGGACTCTGCTTTGCTATGTAGGGGCACAAGGACCAGGTGAAGGGGGGTGTTCACTGAGGCGTGTGCACGGCTGGGAATGTAAGCTTGGAGCACCTTCCCTTCTTGGCCCCACGGTGGCAGTGCAGAGCCCTTTGGCTCTGGTGTGTTCTGCTGAGTAACTTTGCGTGACAAGAGTAGAGAGGCCTGGAAGAAGCCGCCAAGGAGGGAGGGTCAGAAAGTGCAGATTTCAGAGCCCTGGGGAGGCCGGGCCAGCGAGGACAGAGATGATCCTGTGAAGCACACCAGCTGGTACTCTGGGGAGCAAAAAGGTCATTTCAAAATGGGGAGAAACTGGATCTGGCAGGGGGGCTGCTGTTGTCAGCAGTTACTGACAAATGTTTTAAAGCAGATATGCCCGTGCCCACACACCCATAAGCTTATTTGCTTCCAAGTACAAACTGAACTTTTTTCCTGTAGAGGCAAAGTGTCTGTGAAAGGGTTTCCATGCTTTATTCACTTGGAGAGCAGCACAGGAGAGTCCCCTTCCTGTGAGGGCTGCGTGCTCATCACAGGGCGTGGAACTGTAGATCACGCTAGGCCCATTTAGCTTCTCCTTCGTGGAATGTTGACATCATTCAGGCTTTATTAACAGGGAACTGTGCGTGTCTCTCCTCATGTGGCCTCAAAATGGTGTCTCTTGGGGCCTCTTCTTCACTCTATTGATTATGAGGCAGCTTGTGTTAATCCGATGAAGGACCTGAGAAAGGCTTCCAAAATCACTTCTGCCTGAAGGACAGTTAAACCAGGAGACAGACAAACTGGAGAAGATGGCCATGGTGCCAGGTACCTAACGAACAGAGAAGAGAAGCAAACCAAGCACAAATTGACTCCACATGTCTCGCACTATGCCTCAGAGGCCATGGAATATGGCGTTGGCTTCCGAAAATGGAAACCCTTCACCAAACAAGAACTGTTCCTCTCATAGGCTGCAAAGAACACTTTGCAGCCTCAAAAGAACTAAAGGATGTGAGGTCAAGTCACAGGTCTGAGATTGTGGTAATGACCAGCCCTATGTTTTGATACCAGGCTTGCGTCCTCAGAATGCTCCAAGCTCTGAAGGACCTCTTTGTACCTCTGTCTCTCTTTCTGTCTTTATTTCTCTTCTTTTCTGTTTTGGAGACAGGGTATCACTATATAGTTCAGGATGGTCTTCAACTTACTATGTAGCCCAAACTGGCATCAAACTCTCAGAAGTCCTCCTGCCTCAGTCCCCCAAGTGCCGAATTTACAGGCATGTGCCACCATGCCCAGTTCCTAAAGAATTTTTTCTTGACTAGCCCTTGTCCATATGTTGATGAAGTTATTTTTATGCCCCTTCAGGAAACTCTTTTAGTTCTATATTACTAGATCAAAATACTAGAGAATTCAACTAATAAAGAGAAAAGGTTTGTTTTGGCTCACAGTTTTAGAGGTTTCAGTCCATAATCAATTGGCACTGTGGCTTGAGCCCTGTGGGGAGGCAGCACATTGTGGTGGGAGTGTGGTGGGGTATGTGTGGCAAAGCATGGTTCCATCACAGACTAGGAAGCAAAAGACAGAAATGAAAGGGTGAGGACCCCATACTCCCCACAAAGGGTGCATATTCAGTGATCTAATGACAAGGCCGTACCTCTCAAAGGTTCCAATATATCCTAGTAGCACACTTCTGAGGATCAAGCTTTTAATGGATAAGGCTTTGGGAGAATACTCACCATCCAGACTGTAGCAGGAACCCTTGGTGGTTGTAGGGAAAATCAGCTGGGCATTCAAGCCAGGAGAATTCGAGGAGCCAAAGTTGAAATAGGGATGGATATGAATTATAAAGACAAGATCTGATTGGATTCTGATCTCTGGAGTAGTGCTCAGTTCCAGATATAAATTATATGGAGTTATTGCCTGTATTGGCTGGAGAACTGTCTCTCAATCTGAAATCTTTAACAGAAAGTACTAAATGTAAAGCTCTGAATCAGCTGCATAGATTGTTATAATATCCTTCTGGGAGAGGGAGCCCAAGTGACTATTATAACAGCTTCTTCCTTCTCAGAAAACAGAAAATAATATTTTAAGTTGAACATTAATTAGAATTCCTTCCTCATAGAGTAAGTGGTTTATTACTCACCCTTAAATTTATGTTGAAGCCCTAATCCCAGTGTGATGGTATTTGAAGATGGGGTCTTTGAGAGGTATTGGTGTTAGATGAGGTCATGAAGATGGGGCCCTTATACTGGGATTAGTGTCCTCATAAGAGGGCAGAGCAGTTGAAAAAGGTCTTATGAGTTATTAATGAGAAGACAGCTGTCTGTAATCCAGGAAGAGGACCCTTCTCACAAGCCGATTATGCTGACACCCTAATCTTGAACTTCGAGTGTCCTGGATTGCAGTGGTTTGGATGTTTGAAAATCTGTATGTTGAAACCTGGCCACCAAAATGATGGGAGGTGGTTAGGTCACGATGCCTTCGTCCTCATGAATGGGATTAGTGGCCTTATGAAAGTGGCTTGCAGAAGTTCCACCATGCAGACACGTAGGGAGAACCATTTATGAGGCTTGGGTGCCTCACCAGACACCCAATTTGCTGCATTTTTGATTTTGTACTCAACCTCTAGAACTATGAGCAACAAAATTCTGGGGTTTCTAAAGTACTCAATCTCTATATTTTATTATGGCAACTAGAATGGACTAAAACAAGAATTGTAAGAAACTAAATCTCTGTTGTTTTAGGTCATCAGTATATGGTATTTTGTCGTGGCAAACCAAGTTAAGACAGTAAGTATCCATCTTTGTCCATGCTGGCCTGGGATGCTCTGATAATATCTACTTTTCTGTAGACGCAATCTATTTTGGGATGGAATATTCCATTCTTCCTTCTGTTTGTGGCTTCTCCACTGGGGATTGGATGGTCAGTGTTGCACCAGGAAGGTGAAATAATAGTAAGTTGTCATTTGGTACATCAAAAGCTTAAAAAAATCATTGAAAGTTTCTGCCTATGATAGGTGCTGTGGAGGTGGCAGAAATGTAAGAAATGCACTTGTCTGCAGCGGCTTCTGTTCATATGAGTCAAAAATCTTTGACCCATGAGCCATCTCTGGCAAGTCACGACTGGCTGGCCATCTGTTTTGTGGCTTTGTTGGAACACAGCTGCACTCACTTGTTTCCTTATTGTCCATGTCTTTTTTCATGTTGCAACACCAGAGTTTAGCAGTTGAACAAAGGTAGTACCACCCAGCAAGCTTATAATATTTATTATCTGGCACTTTACAGGAAAGGACCCCTGCATTACATATTGGTGAGGGCCAATGATCAGGCTTAAACACTGCTTCTTGGTATGTTTCATCTCTTGCATCTTTTGATGCCTTATTTTTCTACATTTGTCTTTATTCTTTTTTCCTTCTCTACTTGTCTGACTTTCTAAAGTCTCTTCCTTACTCACCCTCCTCTGCTAGTCTTGCTTGTGTTTCTGGTCTGTTGTTCCCCATCCCCAGTCCCTGCTACTCTGTTTATTTTTCATCCTTCTCTTCCCTGGCTTCTGCTCTGCTGTCTGTGACCATTTCCTCCCACTTCTTGGCTTCCTTCTTTCTCTTCTTGCTCTTTTCATCTGTGCCTTTTCCATGGAACTGGTTAGTTCCTGTGAGTTGGAATGACTCCCCTCTCACCATGCACAGCAGCCTTTCTCTGTCTCCACACGATCTTATGCATGTTTCCCTCCTCGGAGCTCCTCAGAAAACGGGGCAGGGCTGATATTTGCCTCATCAGGAAATGTAGCCTCTAAAAGTAAGTGTCCATTTGAATTGGCCACCTGACTGCCCTGACGGTCAGTGATGAATGTCTTGCAAATTATTCCCTCCACGTAGTCATCTGCTTCATTTAGCCAAAGAGCTGAAAATGTAGAAATATTTCTCAGGTTAAGAGACATAAACACACAAGCTTAAATATTAAGTGTAAATCAAGAGTAAATAAGAGGGAGATAATAGGACATAAAGACGTAGATCTTTCTCCAATGGGAAGGGGACGGAGAGATGGAGGGAGCGGGTGGGGGGGGGATGTTGAGTAAAGGAATTAAGATGTATTATGTACCTGTGATGGAGACATTATGTACTGCAAATACAAACTAATAAAAAGTTTTTAAAAAGAGAAATGTTTCTTAAATACCTCGGCTGTAGGAACTCCACGAGTCCCCACTCATGCTTCAGCCTCTGGGGTTTTAACAAGAAGTCCCAGTGTTTTTATAGCATTGTGAGGCAGCATCTAGAATTCAAAAATTAAGTCCGCTCAGCCTTGGGATGAGTGTGTGCTGGGTGGTGCTTTTTCCCCACAGAGTGATGTGTTTTGAATCTAAGACTTTCTGTGGGCAAATGTTCCTCAGAAGCACGCACGATGGTTGCTAAAGATTTCTTTTTATATAATAGTGTTGGAAAAAATACAGCAAACCCGGGTGGTTTTGGAGTCATTTTAAAGTAATTATAAAGATTTATAAGGCCTGTCACACCACTCATCCTTGATGCCAGAGTGAAAAGAGGCCTCAAAGTGCAAGGTCATTAATTATCAGTCCAGCCCTCAGTAGAAGTGAGAGGAAACAGCCCCAGAGCATCAAAACTTCAGACATTACCTAGCTTTAAAGAATCTAATCCAGAATATATTTCAGGGACATAGAGCCTTGGTTGCATTTGGTTGAAATTTGAACCTATTCACTGTTTTTTCCTCTTAAGTGTTTATTTGTATTAGTGTTGCTACTTTTTTTCAGTACTATGAGTAGCATGCCAGTTCTGATTTCTGTATAATATGTTTTTGAAACTTTTGAAAAAAAATCCTTAATCATTGTTTTTAACACAGAAGTCCTGAATGTGGTTTGGAAAAAAGGGATTTAGCTAAACAATGCATATTAAACATTCGTTGCTTGATCTTCAGCTTCTATTATTTCCTTCCTATATCCCATATTTCAGTTTGGGGGTAAATGGCGCTGGGCAGTCTGATTCCAGTAAGCCTCCACGAGTGGAGTACGAACCCAGATCAGCATATTTATCTCCCAAGGCATCATGGTTGATTCTGGTTAGATATGATATGTCTTTCTATCTCTTGCAACAAAAAAGATTGTTAGTGTATTTAGGGCAATTGTACAATAATTACAGATACAAAATCAAGAAAGCAAAGTCAAGATTCTAGACTCTATTCCATGCCAACTAGCTTCGAGACCTTCAGCAAGTCCTTTGCCCACTCTTTAGGCCTCTTTGTGTGTGTGTGTGTGTGTGTGTGTGTGTGTGTGTGTGTGTGTGTGTGCTGGGAATTGAACTCAGGACCTGGCGCTTGCCAGGCAGGCTCTGTGCCTCTGAGATATATATTCCCAGCTCATAGGTCTCAATTTTGTCTCTGTCATACAGGAAAGAAGGAAAATGAGAGGCTTGGTACCTGCTAAGATCTGTTCCAGCTTGAAGATTCTTTGAGTTCAGCCTTCTTTTTGATCTTCTACAAACTGCTCCTTGCATTTCCCTCCAGCACCCCACTCCCTTGAATCCATCTTCCTCACTTCGGTCAGCTTAAGAGCCTCAGACTGAAAACTTGATTGATTTCTCCATTAAGAGTAAAACCAAATCTGCTTGTAACCTTCGTAGCTCCTTAATTTGAATTACCTTTAGGTTTAACTGAAACATAGAAATGGAATGTATTTTTGCAGATGAGCCCTTTATGCATGAGCTATTTTAGAGTCTCTTCCAAGGACTTCTTAAAAAATTTACTGAAGACTTACTTTACTGAAGGCTGGATCTCAGTCACAAGATAGTATACACTGGTGGCCTTAAAGCTAACAACCTAGGGCCACATAAGCATCACGTCCTAGAAAAATGAGTAGCACTTTCAGATGCTAATTATACTTATCAAAGCAAGAAGTATATTACATATGGTCAACTCTGAAGCACTAATATATTAAACATCTGTAGCTTTAATATAGCCAGAACAGATATCGGCTAATGTCTAACTACTATACTGTTAAAATATATAATGATATGTTAGTTATATGTTTGAAGGAGGCTATTTTTTTAGTAGGAAACCATTGAAAAGTGACTCTGGATGTATTGTAATTACATCAACAGTCTGGAGCTAGTGCTGGATTGTGAGGAGTCATTTTCTGTTTATTTTTTAATTGACGGAAACCCCAGTCTACCAAGGGCTGTGTACTCTGCCATGTGCTAGCCAGGCTTGTTTTGTTCTATTTCCCATTCAGGGCACTCCCCTCCACAAACGCTTGCCAAGTCTGCATGCACGTTGAGTCAAAACATTTTGGATATGAACTCATCACATGTGAAAAAATGGGTTTAAACAACATCTTCACATGCAAGTGTACTATGTGTTCTTTCCAGCTGATGTTTCAGTTCAAATTTGTGAAGCTTTGAGAGTTGCGTGTATTTGTACAATAACTCAGCATTGCCCCAGAATGCAATGAGGCCATTGGCTTCCTGCTACAGACTAAACAAAGGGTAAAATGTGCAACGTGTAGATAGAATATCTACAGCTTTAGACACTGTCTGTTTAACTGACCAATTTACAAGTACATTTGTATATACAGTGGCCCATTGTGCTGATTCAATGGTCGAAAGAAGAATTAACATTCATTGAAACCAGCTTAAGCTGGCCAATTTTGATTTGGTAGAAATTAAGTGACTTTGAATAGCTAAAGGATGAATTACATACAATTATTGTTTTTTCTTTGTTTTCACTGAGGGAAGGGGATGATCTAAGAGTGAATGAGGCTTATTTTAGGGTCAGGAATATATCAATTGAGAACGTAGAAGAGAACAGAAATGTTTGGGAGAAGACACTGGGGAGAAGAGAGATGAACGGGTAGAGTTGGAACTGAACCTTAACTGCTTTCTCATGTCATAGATGGGACATTAGCACCTGTGACATTATCTCCTCTCTCAGAAATGTTTAACCCCCAACCCAGTGAATGCCTTTGTCAGGTCCTCATGTGTTTGGTGCTTGAAAAGTTGCATTTGTTCTGTGTGACTCTAACCTGACTCCCTCAGATACTGATGATAGGCTTTTGAAGACATATTTCTGGAGATGATCCAAAATTCCAAGGAAAGTAAAGACGAAAAGCTCAGCAAAGATAAAGACGAGCAGAGGGATTCAGTGGCCAAGGACTGAAATGACACATTCAGTTTAATGGTACATAATATATACAGAAAGTTTTCTGTCGAGTCATACATTAGATTTACATAGATATTGATTGCCTTTTCCATGTTGGAAATTTTATCTTTTATGAGGCTTTAAAAATATTTCTTGGGGGCCAGGGACTTAGCTCAGCTGCATAAGTGCCTGCCTTATTAGTGCGTAGTTGTGAGTTCGATTCCTGGTATCACCAAAAAAAAAAAAAGTAATAATAACTTTTTTGATCAAAATCAAACAAGTTCTTCAGCTAATTTTGGCAGATAGTGGTTTGACCCTCTGAAGGCAGACATAAGCTCAGTGCATTGTAGATTCACAGAAAAGTCTGTGAAAATGAGAGATTCCTATGTCATCTTCAGCTTTCAAAGGGAACAACAAAGTTTGTATTACTTTGATAACTCTGAAGCAAGGCTTATTATCAAGGTTATAAATTTTCTTCTGGATACTTTCAGATCTTCCCACAACCTTTGGGAGCTCTGTGTGGCTCATCGTTTCCTAGATGAAAGCTCCTGGACTGGGATTCTTGAACATTGGTAGCACGGAAGGGGTATTAGACTCCCTGATGTCTAGCTTGATAGGATGGAACCAGAACTCATCCCCTAATGAAGAAACTTTCCACACTGAGCTGGCTTTCCAGCTTCCAGGGTCTCTTCATCCAAATCATATTTACAATCCTCACTGACCTCAGAGACACTTGTCTTTTTATTCAGTCCTTAGTCATCTTCCTAGATAAAATCTCCTTCTTTTTCTCTCTCTTTTACAGAGTAAACAAGAAAAAAATAAACAGCTGATATTAGATGAACGTATCTTTTTCTGCCATGTTATACAGTTTTGTAGACCATGGTAAAACATTATGGTTTGAATGGCTGAAAGACAGAGGTGGGTTTGAAATGATTGGAAATACTGAAAATTACAGGAAAAATCATTGTTGGAACTAAGATATATATGCAGTGGTGTGGGAAGGTGCCTTGTGTAATCCAGGTTGAGGTTCTGGACTGCTTGCTTTCCTGAATGAAGAGATACCATTCATATTCAGTGGCCTTCTTGTTCATATGTAAATATTTATTGCTAAGATGTTTGAAGATGTCTTATCCTTCTGAGTAGTTTAAAGTTCCTCTTATTTACATTAATGTTAACATTATACAACTACATTAAAAATCTTTTGCTGGCCCATACTTTAGACCGGTATGTATCCAATTCATGATAAACACATTTACTAAGGCCTCAATCAGACATAAGCATGGATTTTGAATTGAGAAGTTAGATTCCCCTGAGGAATATTTAGAAGGAACAAAGCAGAATCAAGTCACTCAGCAGATGTTTGTTTAATCTTTCTCTTGTGTCCAAACAAGATTTGATGTGGTAAACTGGGGTAAAATGCATGAAACAGCTAAAAGACCAAACTAACTAAACAAAAAGTACCCACACATTCTACAAACTACCCGTTAACCACAAACATATCATTATCTCTCATGCACCTTAGCCAAAAGGCCAACAGAGGGTAGATTAAAGTGTTCTAAACTTCACTTCTTCTCTCTTAGTCTTTTAAACACTGGAGATCAGGGAGCAGACAATGGGCGTAGTAGGAAGAGAAACAAAATCGAAATAACCACAAAATCTGTTGCTTTTAGGGTTAAAACAGTTGGCTTTAGGGTCTGCTATAGGGTTAAGCAGACCACAGGAAAAGGAAACTATTAAAATATTTTTGTCTGTGTGCA